ATGTAGCCCTGATACCCTCTCATGTAGCCCTGATACCCCCGATACCCTCTCATGTAGCCCTGATACCCTCTCATGTAGCCCCGATACCCTCTCATGTAGCCCTGATACCCTCTCATGTAGCCCTGATACCCTCTCATGTAGCCCCGATACCCTCTCATGTAGCCCCGATACCCTCTCATGTAGCCCCGATACCCTCTCATGTAGCCCTGATACCCCCGATACCCTCTCATGTAGCCCTGATACCCTCTCATGTAGCCCTGATACCCTCTCATGTAGCCCCGATACCTCTCATGTAGCCCCGATACCCTCTCATGTAGCCCTGATACCCTCTCATGTAGCCCTGATACCCCCTGATACCTCTCATGTAGCCCTGATACCCTCTCATGTACCCCGATACCCTCTCATGTAGCCCTGATACCCTCTCATGTAGCCCTGATACCCTCTCATGTAGCCCCGATACCCTCTCATGTAGCCCTGATACCCTCTCATGTAGCCCTGATACCCTCTCATGTAGCCCCGATACCCTCTCATGTAGCCCTGATACCCTCTCATGTAGCCCCGATACCCTCTCATGTAGCCACGATACCCTCTCATGTAGCCCTGATACCCCCGATACCCTCTCATGTAGCCCTGATACCCTCTCATGTAGCCCTGATACCCCCGATACCCTCTCATGTAGCCCTGATACCCCCGATACCCTCTCATGTAGCCCTGATACCCTCTCATGTAGCCCTGATACCCTCTCATGTAGCCCTGATACCCCCGATACCTCTCATGTAGCCCTGATACCCTCTCATGTAGCCTGATACCCTCTCATGTAGCCTACCCTCTCATAGCCCTGATACCCCCGATACCCTCTCATGTAGCCTGATACCCTCTCATGTAGCCCTGATACCCTCTCATGTAGCCCTGATACCTCTCATGTAGCCCTGATACCCCGATACCCTCTCATGTAGCCCTGATACCCTCTCATGTAGCCCTGATACCCTCTCATGTAGCCCTGATACCCTCTCATGTAGCCCTGATACCCCCGATACCCTCTCATGTAGCCCTGATACCCTCTCATGTAGCCCTGATACCCTCTCATGTAGCCCTGATACCCCCTGATACCCTCTCATGTAGCCCTGATACCCCCCGATAGACCCAATACACCCGATACCCCTAAATACCTCCTGATACCCAACCACCTAATACATGCAATACCCCATTATACCCCTGGTACCCTATAAAACTTCTTAATACCCCCTATCCACCCTTCTACGCCCTAAAACCCCCTGATACCCTCTAACACTTCCCTGATACCCCCAAATACCACCTTATACCCTATCATCCTCTTACGGTTTATACAAAGATTTCCCACCACCACCACAACCTCCCAAAACCCCCCAAACACTCACTTATACCCTTTAATACCCCCTGGTATCCTTTCTGATCCCCATCCTTCATCCAAACCTGTTCTGTACCCTGGGACAACATCCGAGATTCAAACCCAAAAAGTCCCCTCCTGTACCCTTCGGGGTATACCCTGATACCCCCCTCTGATACCCCTCCTGTGCAGTATAATTAATCATATTAAACCCTTTATACCCTGTAGAACTTCCTGATACCCTGATACTGTTTACACTGAGAACCCGCTGACCCTCCTGATAAACCCTCCAATACCCCTCTAACCCCCCTGACCCCTCTTCCCATGGCACCCCTCCTATGCAGTATTATTACCATTAAACCTTTAATACCCCTCCTGTAATGTCCGATACCCCCCATCATACCCTTCATGTTTCCTCTGAAGCCCTGTGCTGCCCCCTGCTGGACGTTCACGGTATCTTTCCGCTGTAAATAAACAACATAGACATGATCTGACTGACTCTCTTCTCTCTGCAGTGTTTTACAGATTTATTCATATTTGTTTGAAATATATAAATGACTAAATAAATAAGACATTAAAATAAAGCTTCAAATACCTGACTAACGTGTAATCATTTAAGTCTGTAGAGAATTTAAAAAGTGCAGGAAGAGAGAGAGGATGGCGTGACCAAGCAATCAAACCTGTGACGCTGCGGTGAGGACCCGGTCATGATGTAAACACTAACACTCTGATGTTTCTGAGCTGTGAGCTTTTCTTTTTTCACCTCCTGCAGACGATGATTTGTTAAAAATTAAAATGAGCTCATCATGTTTGGCTTTTAAAGCTTCTTTTTCCTGATCGAGTAAATCCACCACAGTGACTCCTGTGCTCAGATATTCATCAGAATATTAAAATTAATATAATTATACTCAGTATGTTAAACATCAGACCAGTGTCCCATGTTTCCTCTTCACTTTATACTTCATTTATAAATATCCTCCAATCAGATACTAGATGGACGTCCAGGTGAGCTTGGTTGTTTCCTAAATCTACATACCGGTACATTTGAATTGGTTTTATATAATAACTGTACAATAGAAGAAGCCGTGTGTCATCTGTGTCTGAAGAATAAGAAAACCAACTTGCAGTACCGCTTGTAGCCGCCAGGGGGCACAAGTAGTCAGTCTACAAGAAGCACGCATTCCCACCATTCCCACACAGGAGCCCCGCCCATGTACGTCAGAACTTGCCCATTGCGCATGCCCAGTCTCTAACAGCCTACGGTACGGCACACCGGAGTCACAACAACCGACAGCCGTCCACCGTGAGCGGCCGTCAGCTCCGCGACTGTCCGCCCATCAGGAGGCCGGAGCCGGGCAAGTTAGTGAGAGAGGCTGGGGGACCACGGAGCCGGAGCAGCGGACACACAGAGCGGAGCAGCGGGGCTGGAGAGCACGGAGCAGCCCGCTGATTCACACCGGGTAACTGTCACCGTGTGTCCGCACACTCTGATGCAGCTCCTGGTTCTTCTTCTCATTAAACCGAGACTCAGCTGATGGATCGTTCCGCACGCTGATAACTACAGCTAACATTAGCCAGCGAGCTAACAGGCTAACACCGTAACACGGTCCCGGTAATGTTAGAATGGAAGGGATAACGGTCACCATGCTAGCGTCCCGGTAAACAGAACGACAGCCATCGGTTAGCTGTTAGCCGTGTGCTAACAGCTAGCTACAAGCCAGGAGCTAACAGTTAGCTGCGGAACATCTGGCCGAGCGGCCGAGGATGGTCGCAGTGACAGCGGCTGTTCTGGAGGAGCGGCCCTACCCCGCCGGAGGTTCTTACATTGTCACCCCCCCTGTTGGACTCAGGACCCGGCTGTGAGGCTTCATGTAAACCGCTGAACGCTCACACGGTCCCTCCGTGCCGCCGCCGCAGACATGCAGGCGGCGCCGCAGCAGTACGACTTCTTCTGCGACGAGAACGCGCACAAGTGGAGAGGCCTGCTCGTGCCCGCGCTGGAAAAGGTACACGCGTACACGTAGAGTAACATACACACACACACATACACATAGAGTAATACACACACACAGAGTAATACACACACACAGAGTAATACACAGAGTAATACACACACACACAGACACACACACACACAGAGTAACACACACACACACACACACAGAGTAACACACACACACACACACACACACACACACACACACACACACACACACACACAGAGAGTAACACAGAGTAATACACACACACACACACACACACACACACACACACACACACACAGAGAGTAACACAGAGTAATACACACACACACACAGAGTAACACACACACACAGAGTAACACAGAGTAATACACACACACACACACACACACACACACACACACACACACACAGAGAGTAACACAGAGTAATACACACACACACACACACACACACACACACACACACACACACAGAGAGTAACACAGAGTAATACACACACACACACAGAGTAACACACACACACAGACACAGAGTAACACACACACACAGAGTAACACAGACACACATACACACACACACACAGAGTAACACACACACACACACACAGAGTAACACACACACAGAGTAACACAGACACACACAGAGTAACACAGACACACACACACACAGAGTAACACAGACACACATACACACAGAGTAACACACACACAGAGTAACACAGACACACACACACACACACACACACACACACACACACAGAGTAACACAGACACACATACACACAGAGTAACACACACACACAGAGTAACACACACACACAGAGTAACACACACACACACACACACACACACAGAGTAACACACACACACACACACACACACACACACACAGAGAAACACACACACACACACACACACAGAGTAACACACACACACACACACAGAGTAACACAGACACACACACAGAGTAACACAGACACACACACAGAGTAACACAGACACACACACAGAGTAACACAGACACACACAGTAACACACACACACACACACACACACAGAGAAACACAGACACACACACACACACACAGAGTAACACAGACACACATACACACAGAGTAACACACACACACACACACACAGAGTAACACAGACACACACACACAGAGTAACACACACACACAGTAACACACACACACACAGAGTAACACACACACACACACAGAGTAACACAGACACACACACACACACACACACACACACACAGAGTAACACAGACACACACACACACACACAGAGTAACACAGACACACACACACACACACACAGAGTAACACACACACACACACACACACACACACACACACACACACACACACACACACAGAGTAACACAGACACACACACAGAGTAACACAGACACACACACACACACACAGAGTAACACGCACACACACACAGAGTAACACAGACACACACACAGAGTAACACAGACACACATACACACACACACAGAGTAACACAGACACACACACACACACACACACACAGAGTAACACAGACACACACACACACACACAGAGTAACACAGACACACACACACACACAGAGTAACACACACACACAGAGTAACACGGACACACACACACAGAGTAACACACACACACATACACACAGAGTAACACACACACAGAGTAACACACACACACACACAGAGTAACACACACACACACAGAGTAACACAGACACACATACACACAGAGTAACACACACACACAGAGTAACACACACACACAGAGTAACACAGACACACATACAGACACACACACACACACACACATACACACACACACACAGAGTAACACAGACACACATACAGACACAGACACACAGAGTAACACACACACACACACACACAGAGTAACACACACACACAGAGTAACACACACAGAGTAACACAGACACACACACACACACACACAGAGTAACACAGACACACACACACACACACACACACACACACACACACACACACACAGAGAAACACAGACACACACACACACACACACACACACACACACAGAGTAACACAGACACACACACATACATACACAGAGTAACACAGACACACATACACACACACACACACACACACAGAGTAACACAGACACACACACACACACACAGAGTAACACAGACACACATACACACACACACACACAGAGTAACACAGACACACATACACACACACACAGAGTAACACAGACACACAGACACACACACACACACACACACACACACACACACACACACACAGAGTAACACAGACACACATACACACACACACAGAGTAACACAGACACACACACATACATACACACAGAGTAACACACACAGAGTAACACAGACACACATACACACACACACACACACACAGAGTAACACACACAGAGTAACACACACACACACACACACACACACACACACAGAGTAACACAGACACACACACACACATACACAGAGTAACACACACAGAGTAACACAGACACACATACACACACACACACACACACACACACACACACAGAGTAACACACACACCTGTGACCTGTTCTCCACATTGCATCACTGGTGATGTTTATCAGGAAAGATCGATGTAAACACACTCAAACTTTAGGAACTGTTTTTAAAGGGGGCGGTGTATCTGTGGACGTCCTGTTCTCACCTGAGTGTGTCCAGTTAGAGACAACCCCCCCCCCCCCCCATGATCCTCACACAGAACAGGTGTTCAGCTCAGCAGCTGATTGATTGATTGTTTGTTTACAGTACATAATCAAACAGACCTTTAGCTTCATCACCATGGCAACAATGATTCTCATCACACGCAGAGTCGGGGTTATTTTTTGGTGTGGGGGGAAAATTGCCCCTAAAATTCTTTTCATTGGTGTTTTTTTTTTTTTAAACTTAGGGGGCGGACTTGTTCTGAAGCTTGAACGTACGATACGATACACTTTATTAGGGAAATTTGTCTTGGACTCAAAATGCTGCCAAACATTCAGCTGCTTCCACTCGAATCAAAAAATAAATACTGTAGAAGAAACACATCCACACATAAAGAAAAAGGTGCAGAACAACACAACATATATTGCACATTACCCATATTTGTGATGCACTATGGGTAACGGTCTGATGCCTCGATGTGACCTGCAAAGCAAACCATCAGATGAATGATGGTCTCGTCCCTGGTGTCAGTGTGTTAGAAGCCCTCTGCAGACCTCACCTTGTACAGTGAAACTTTTGAAAACAGGTTTGTTGTGTTGCACGGAGCCCGAAGGCTCCGTCGAGATCAGATGAAAAAGCCATTTGAAGATCCGTACCCGCGGCTAGCACATCCACGCACACGAGTCTGTAATCTGTGTGGACAGTTTTCTAAACTGTGCGCCCGGTAAGCAGACTGTGGGCACGGCTTTGCATTGGAAATCTGTACACAAAGTTTACAAATCTGTGCGCTCAGTGAAGTCTGGAGTATCGTCTGCAGCTGTTTTTACAGTATGCACTCCTGACAATATCTGCTCCTCAAATCCTCCTGCAGCAGGTTGATTAGAGCACGGAGATGGTAGAGGTGGCGTGCAGACAGTCTGTGGTCGTGCACACAGTACCTCTACCTGTATGTGCTGACCAGGTGTGCGTGCGTGATAGTCAGTTTGTAGTTGGTCAAACAGAATCATGCAGGTCAGTGTATGCAAACACAACTCGCCTGCATACAGGACACACACACACACACACACACCAGGTGTACAGAGTGTGTGCTGGGAGCAGTGCATGCTGGGAATAGTTCTCTGCTGTCAGACCTTCAGGAGTTGTGTAAACAGACACAGTCAGTACAGACACCTTCTCTCAAAGACAGAGCCCCCCCCCCACACACACACACACGTCCCCCCTCCCTTTGAAAGATGGGTGAGTCTGAGGAGCGGGTGTCGAAGCACACTCTCACACTTTAAGGGATACTTCATGAGCATTAAGCTTTGTATCAGTAGAAACTTTGATTAGTTTGCACAGATGATAAGAAAACATAAAGTTGACATTGCTCGGCGGTGATACAGAAACAGTGAACGGATAACGTTTAGAGATATTGATTTATATTACTGTCACATGACCTGTTGTTGTGGGTGGAGCCTAGAGAGCTGTCAATCACAATGTTACAGGCCCCCACACAGGATTCAGAGCCGCTTGTTGAACCAGGCTTAATATGATGTGTGTGTCTGTGTGTTGCAGGTACTGAACCAGGTGCATCCTAACCTGGTGTCCCAGCAGGAGGCGCTGCAGTACATCGAGGAGCTGATCCTGGTCCTGCTCAACATGCTGTGTCAGGCTCAACCCCGCACCGTGCAGGACGTGGAGGTAACCAACACCCCGACCCTCATCAGAGTCTGATGAGTGTTTTCACTAAGAACACTCGTCACTTGGTGAATTTGTCAGTTCTAAGCACAGCGGCCCCTAGTGGACACTGGAGGAACTGCAGGTTTTGGATCTTCAGTGTTTCTTTCATTACTCAGACCTGAAGGTTTCTGCTTTCTGCTATTCTTCTTCTTCTGGTTTTATCTGCTCTTTAGTGTGTTTTCTAAGTGTCCTGTGCATGTTTAGTCACATCTATTTGCAAAAATTCAAAGTCCACGTAAATGCAGCTTCTCCTACGTCCTCCTGTTAGCTGCTGCATGTAACGCTCGGTTCTAGCCCCCCTCGATAACAATTTGTCAGTGTGACGTCTTGTCAGTGTGAGATCACTGATCTAAGCCCATTGGCTCGTTGTGGCCCTGCAGCTCATGTTGCACGTCCATTAACTTCTGTAGCACGCCCACGATATGCCGTAGCCTGTGGTAGCACAGTACTGCTAAGGTGCTAATGTTTTTGCTCCCCTCGGAGCCAAAGTGGCTGAGCGACTGACCAATTACGGCAGAGCCGACAGGCCGACCAATCAGATCAGACTTGGCCCACGTGGGGACTCTGAACGTGGGCACTTCAGAGCCTTAGAGAGAGAGTGAGAAGAGAGCCGGTGCACGGAGCAGCAGTTCATGAAAACAGACACTTTGTTAGAACTATTGTGAACAAACTTTAGTAGATAGATGAAACATATGAACCCCAAACAGGGCAGAATATGACCTCTGACCTCTTTAAGTAAAGTTTTGTTCCTGTTAATAAACACGTTCACTCAGTCAGCAATGTGGGTTTGTTTGAGACAGATCCAGTAGAACCAGCAGAACTTTAACGTTCAGTGGAACCAATAAAGCCACCAGAAGAAATACAACCACCAGAACCAATAGAATCAGCAGAACCATTAGATCCAGTACAAATTATATAATTAGCAGAACCAATAGAACCACTACAACCAATAGAAACAGCAGAATCTGTGGAACCAGAACCAGTTAAAACCAGTTCTTTGTTTGTAAAACAACCTGAGCTTACCTGTAGTCGTGTGATGACATCACTGTCAGGCTGAAATGTGATTGGTCTGGTTGTGTTTTTTTTTTTTTTTTTCAGCTAATGGAGGCAGCAGTGAGATAACGAGGTGCTCTGATAAAACACCACACACACTGCTGGTGTTTTACACACTGACCTGACCTCTGACCCCTCCTGACCTCTACACCTCTCCTGACCTCTAAACCTCTCCTGACCTCTGACCCCTCGCTGCTCCTCAGATCGTGTGTGTGTGTGTGTGTGTGTTGTGTTTCAGTTTGGTGACGTGTCAGTAAGTTGATCACACTGAGACAAAAACACCTGCAGCTGACAACCAATCGTATTGGGTCACATGACCTGTGACCTCACTCAGCCAATCAGACAGCTTCATTATTATGAACAGAAAAAGAGTCAGCGATGACATCATCATCAGTTTGATGTGAACTGTTGAAAACGTCTGTACAGGTGTCGCTGTGTGATGTCACAGGAAAGGAGTCAGCTGATTGGCTGATTCCTTTCAGAACAGAGCACAGGTGAGTCCTGCAGTGTGATCAACAACACTCCGTATTGCAGGTGATTAGTCCAGGTCAGACCAGGTGTTTATCCCAAGTTTTTGGTTAAGTCCATGTGTTTGGTCCAGATGTTTAGCGCAGGAGTTCAGTCGTGGTGTTTAGCCCACTTCTTTAGTCCAGGTGTTAAGTCCAGATATGTAGTCCAGGTGTTAAAGGTGTTCACGCTGGTGTTTAGTCCAGGTGTTTGACCCACCTTGTGATTGCAGGAGCGGGTGCAGAAGAGCTTTCCTCACCCGATAGATAAGTGGGCGATCGCTGATGCTCAGGCTGCCATCGAGAAGAGGAAGAGGAGGAATCCTCTGGCTCTACCTGTGGACAAGATCCACCCACTGCTGAAGGTACACCTGTCTTCATCGTCATCAGCATTGTTATACACACTCTCTTACACTGACTGCGTTTCCCATGATCCTTTGTTGTCAGGAGGTGCTTGGTTATAAGATAGACCACCAGGTGTCGGTCTACATGGTCGCTGTGCTAGAGTACATCTCTGCCGACATCCTGAAGCTCGCCGGAAACTACGTCAGGAACATCCGCCACTACGAGATCTCCCAGCAGGACATCACCGTGGCAATGTGTGCTGACAAGGTACACAACCCCAGCTACACAACAACTACACAACTATACTGCACAACAACAAAACAACTATACTGCACAACAACAACTATACTGCACAACAACTACTATACTGCACAACAACAACTATACTGCACAACAACTACTATACTGCACAACAACTACTATACTGCACAACAACAACTATACTGCACAACAACTACTATACTGCACAACAACTACTATACTGCACAACAACAACTATACTGCACAACAACAACTATACTGCACAACAACTACTATACTGCACAACAACAACTATACTGCACAACAACAACTATACTGCACAACAACAACAACTATACTGCACAACAACAACTATACGGCACAACAACTACTATACTGCACAACAACAACTATACTGCACAACAACAACTATACTGCACAACAACAACTATACTGCACAACAACTACTATACTGCACAACAACAACTATACTGCACAACAACAACTATACTGCACAACAACAACAACTATACTGCACAACAACTACTATACTGCACAACAACTACACAACTATACTATACTGCACAACAACTATACTGCACAACAACTACTATACTGCACAACTATACTATACTGCACAACAACTATACTATACTGCTCAACTACTATACTACACAACAACAAAACAACTATACTGCACAACAACTATACTATACTGCACAACAACTATACTGCACAACAACTACTATACTGCACAACAACTATACTGCACAGCGACTACTATACTGCACAACAACTACTATACTGCACAACAACTATACTATACTGCACAACAACTACTATACTGCACAACAACTACACAACTATACTATACTGCACAACAACTACACAACT